GACATGTTTGCTCAATGTCGAAAATATAGGACAAATATGTTCTGTTCAAAGAAGCAGGATTGTGAAAAAATCCCACCACAATCGTATATGTTTTTTTAAACAAATATATCACTTGCACAATATTTTTTTTCAAAATTCGGAAATAGCATTAAATGGATTGGAGAAAAATCAAGCAAACATGTTTAGATCATCTAATTGTGTAAAATGAAACACTCTAAGTTAAACTGAACTGTTTTTGTTAAAAAAAAAAAAAATAGATAATAAGTAGCGAGAATTCAGCAATATTTAGCAATTCAGTGAAAACAGTCAATATATAAGTTTAACCCTGTAGATTTATATTCGTAATGTTTTTTAGCACATCCCAAATAGATAGAATAATTCAGAAACAGTTTTAACATCATGTCGTGTGCTAAGCATTTGTTACTCCATACGTAATTATTCATTCGGGAATATTTTTGTTAAAACCAAAGAACAAATGCCATTTATATTCATTCATGTAGAGTAATAATTATGTGCAATACCATTGTTCTCTTTGAATACATGTACCTTTCCATATTCAATTGTCAATATTAAAAATATTTTGTTGAAAAAAATGACCGAATTCATCAATATTTCCCACTTAATTTAATATATATTTAAGTTAAGTTTATACTTTTATGACTAACATGTATATAAGTCTATGAAATATGGAGATAACGAACAGAAATGAAGCTCAAATCTCCTTGAAAGAATACAAATCGAGAGCAGAGCAAACACGGATCTCTAAAGCATCGGAGGTGGGATCAGGTGCCATGGAGGAGTACGCATCCGCGTGTACTCCTCATTATGGTAAATGGAAAATCTGTAGACAATTCAGTGTGTAAATAATAGTCTAACAATTTGCATAAAAACGTCAATCCACATTTAACGACAGATTGCATTTGCTAACAAGGTCATTGTATCGACAATAGAATTTGCGAAATGTTGACTTCAAACGAGACTGTTGATATTCTTGTTTCATCAATTCGTTTTACAATAGCTTGCTAGTTTGCCTCGTTTTAGATATTGTTCGTACGTAAAAAATGCTCTTGCATACTGAATTAACAAGGAGACATGAACTCCGTATGCAGGTGATAAGGGTATATTGCTACATAAATAAGGGAAGTTGACGATATAAAAGTTGAAGTCATCATGTATATCATAAGGTTTGGTTGTTAGATTACCATTATAGACTTAGTCTAGTAAAATATTCAAAGATGAAACAAATGTGTTTGACTCTGAGGTATCTTTTATTTCAAGTTCACTGGGATATATCGAGTCGCAAAATTCAATACCAGTTTCAACAATATTGTATTATATGCATAATCTTTCAAAACCCAAGTGTCCATCAAGAAAAATTCAACTTTGTGAACCTAAATTTTGAATTTCCATTATCTGTTTTTGGATCTATTTGACTCATTCTTTCTTAAATTTTAATTTCTGATCCTTAAAAATTTAAGGAATTTTTTTTAACAAATTGACCAAAAATGTTCGTTTAAAATTTGATTGTTTCAGCTGAATTTTTCCCATAACGAAGACAAGATCAACAACTCAAGGAGGCAATGTACAATGACAACTGCTCGACAAAAATATAAAACTAAAGAAAATAATACATTTTTTCATATGTACAAAACTAAAGAAAATGCATATCTTTTTTCGTATGAACACCATCGTTGCATTCACATATTGATTGGGCAATGAAGAATTCAGGCTACCCTAGGGATTGTAATCAAACTTTTAATCCATATTCGTGCCTAAGCATCGATTGAAGCCAGACTAAAAATATTGACCAAATTGATTTTTTAAGGTGCAAATTAAGCATTCAATTTAGATAAATCTTCTCGTCCAAAGTTTGCACTAAGGGCATTGATCTTATCGGATCAAGAACAGAGGAATATACATTTATGTTGATCCTGGGTAGTTTAATCTTCTTAGTGAGATAACTGCTCTTAAAATAAAAAAAAAAGCATAAAAGATATGTCTATGAATTCAAAGTACTTTTTTCTGCGTGATATTAATTTATGTACGTGGTCACAAATTTTCCGCGGAAATTTCTCCTTGAGTACTTAAAGTGTATATGTTTGGCATATAGTATCATTCTAAGAGGTAGAGCGCTCGCTCCGTGATCGGGAGGTCGTGAGTTCGAATCTCGGCCGCGACAGACCTAAGTCGATAAAAAATAGGTAGCAACTGTTCCTTCGCCATGCGCTCGGCACTTTGAAGTGAAAGTTGTGGGTCATTCGGATGAGACCTTAAAAACCGAGGCCCCGTGTCACGGCAGGCGTTGGCACGATAAAGATCCCTCACTGCTCAATGGCCCTGAGTGCAGAGTAAAGGTCAAAATTTGAAGCCCTTCACCGGTATATGGTGACGTCTCTATATGAGTGAAAAATTCTCGAATGGGACGTAAAACAACATACAATCAATCAATCAATCATTCTAAGAAATCCAAGTAACTTTCTACCTGCGGATTAAACCGCGGAATTTTGACCCCGTGAAAAAAGTGCCTTAACAGTTTTTGATTTGAAATACGAGTAACATTTTTTGTTCAAACTAATTATATCTTAAATTTAAATTATTTAGTAGTATCCATATAATTCAAGAATACTGTGACTAACGTGTTTACATCTCCCAACTCATTCGATATTCTTATTCTCAAATGCATGCTCTGAGTACGATCAATTATTAAACCGAGGCAGACTTCAGCCAGATAAGTTGATTTAAAAGGGATTTCAACGAACTCGTTTAAAGTCAGCAATTCGTAAATTCTATGGTAGTTATAATGACCTTGTTATCAATAATAAATTATCATTTCGTCGTATTTTGGTAGACGTTTTTCATACAGCTGTACCAAACGTAGAACTTTGTTTTTTATACTAAATTACGGAATATTCCGTTTATACCTGATCAGTACATAGGGCTAGCAGCGGATGTCACTGGTCGAAAGGAGGAACTCACACTTGCAAATTTCAGCACATGCGCTTTTATGTAATTTCTAGATTTCTTACATATTATACTCAGCATTCTTACAGTACTATTATATCTATATAATGCGAGTTCCAAAGCATTTTATAAAAAAGTATTAGGGTTACGGGTACATCAACAACAACATGTGTAGCAGTCATTCCATTTATCGCACGCGCATGCACATGCATTCCGGTTCGCGCAAAATGACCTTTGTTCAGCAAATCTACACAAAATGACTATTTACCGTGAAAGGTCGATTGAATAGTTTCCGAGATAACTCGGGGACAGAACAGTATCCAGGAAGAATGTAATGGAAAAGTAGTATGTTTCCAAAATATACACTAGTCTTGTTTAATAAGCCGTTATATGATACATTGAAAGTACATTAAGATTATGTTTTTGAAGTGAAGGGTAGGGTATAAAGTAGAGAGGTGAATCCACCTTTTTTCCTAGAGGGTGAGAACATGTAAATCAAAATCCTATCTTGACGAATAATATAAATTTAACACAACTAAAAATTTTGACTTCCTTACTCTTTTTAATTGACCCATTAACAGCCAAGCCTTGACAAAATTTTTCGAGATTTTTTTTATAGAAATATAGCTTTCTGATAAAGTTTCTCGATATATTGACCTCAGAGAAAGCATAGACCGAGAACGAAGTGCGATGTTGATATTCTTGACATTGAGGTTGTATTTTCAAGTAGTGTATTTTTCATTAATTAAATTTTTAATTGCAAATGAGGAAAAAGTAAAAGGCAATTATACCTTTTCTAAAAGCTTTTTTGTTACATGTATTATCAATTGAATGGTAGTTTTTTTTCAAGGCATAGTTACTTCATATACATAACGACATCACAATTACAAATTTTAGTGGAAGTATCTGTTTTTACTTTAGAAAAAACAGTCGATATCAACGAAAAAGGGGAAGAAAACGAACATTTATCAATCTTTTTAAAAAATTTACAAACAATACAAATCTGTGAATAGGTCATAAAACACGGACCCCCGGACATACCAGAGGTGGGATCAGGTACCTAAGAATCCCCTGTCGATAACTGGCAACTATTATGTCATCACTAGTATTATTATTTTCATATCTAGTTGAAATGCCTTTTAAACTTAAAAACACTCAGTCGATCAGTTGACCATATTATGTAGTTTAAGCGAATTAGAGACCTAACAATGATAGCAATGATAGACAAATATTATAGAAAAATATATATGCATGCACATGACTCAAAAATATTATCGAAATTAACGAAAACATGTTATAACATTTAAATCACACCCCTTCATTGTCTATGTATTTATTATCGTTATTTAGTTTACAACCTCAGTTGATACTGCGTGTTTCTTTTATATATGACTGTTTGTCCTATAGTTGAATCAAGTGGCTCGGTGTCCCACTATATTCAACAGATAAGATATGAAGAGCATAAAATAGACAAATCAAACCCGTTATAATATGTCAGGTTGTTATCTGAAATTTGAACTGATTCAATACCCTCCCAGGTAAGACGGATATTTTAAGGTTTACATATATTTTGTTGTAAAAATATATGTACATGCTCTCTCTCTCTCTCTCTCTCTCTCTCTCTCTCTCTCAGACATTGTATTTTCCTTTTTTCGACGCAATATTAACCGTGCAAAATGTAAAGATAACATTTATTACATATTTTTAATATGCATAGTACATGCAATGATTTTCATATAGCGAAAAAATTCCAACCTCCAACCTATTTGTGAATAGTAGATCTAAAACAATCCATTGAACCATCAGTCTTTAGATGCGTCGTAGATTGCTCTGCTATACTTGAAATAAGATGCAACAATTCCTGTTGCACCTAAATTACTTGTTATAATATATCCTAAATGTAACAACACAGCAAAATCAAATAATGCGCATATTCATGCCTTAAAGATTTTTCATTATCTTGATATTCATGCATTGGCTAATTTCAATCAATCGTCATTAAAATAAATTGTTTCATTTTTTATATTTTTTTTTCGCAGTTATAGAATGTAGACACAAATCTGCCATGAGAGGCCGGCGACTACTCCACATATTGGTACTGATCATGTGCACCTATGTTATGGTTACCGTTTATTTTTACAAGAGTGTGTTCGAAAGGGGACAGGAAATTAGACAATCGGATGACTACAGTTCAGTATTTGAGTATGAAGAAGACAAATCAGAAACAAAAGTTGACCGGAAGTTGAAAGGTCACAGTGATCATGCTTACTTTGCATTTAACGATAAGCTTCACCAAAATAGTCTACCTGAGGCTCAATCAAATTTGATAACTGAGAAATTGGAGAATTCCGTAAAAACGACCAACACCAATCATATGCAATTCGATAGAGAGGAGATGTCTGGGAAAACAACTCAATCTAAGTACAAAAATTTTGAGGAAGATGATTTTGATAGAAAACTAAGGGAGAGTGCCATAAGACTTGCAAAGAAAATTCAGCAAAATAACTTTAATTTTTACCACCAAAACAAAACTTCAAGCACAATAAAAGCAAAGACTAAGCGAGGGGAACAAACAGTAAAAACAAGTTTTGTGGAACATAGAACTTCAGATGTAGAAAAGCAAAAGTTAACAAAGAAGAAGCACTTCGTTCGGCAATCAGAGTTTATTCGAAATCCTAACATCACAATTTCAACCGAGAATTATAACTTTAGAGAGATTTTTCCTTACAATGGGATATATTTATATTCTTCCTTCTTTGATACCCGCGAGGAAGCAAATTTTATACGCTTTATACTCATCGGTAGAGCACGTAATTTCATCAGACTGTGGTGTCTTTTGCAAAGCAACGACACCGATGAGGTTTTCAAATCTGAAGTGCAGTTCTACCCAACGTGTGAAAGCCACGTTAAAGATAATTCAGTGTATTTGTGTTCATGTGAAATACCCCAAAAATTTGGTCGGGTTCAACATGTAAATTTGACTAACAATGAAAATATGAAGCAGATTGTACCCATAAATGTCATACCCGATATAATTGAACAGCCCTATAAATACAAATTCTCAACGTGCGTCCCACCTCTGTTTGGAGATATCAATATTATACGTTTAACTGAATTTATAGAACTGTCCAGATTGTTAGGTACAGAACATATTTATTTTTACTATAACAGAGAAAGAGGTGATATCCATCAATTACTTCAGTATTATTCTGAACTGGGTATTGTGACGTATTTCCCCTGGAATTTGTCAATGGAGACACATGAGATTTGGTATCATGGGCAATCCGCTGCAATATGGGATTGTTTGTATAGAAATATTCGTGTGTCAGAACTAGTCTCTTTTAATGACATCGACGAATTTATCGTCCCAAAACAAACAGAAACATGGAATTCTATGTTAACCAATTTACACAAATTGGCCAGGGATTCTCTTTCAAAGGAGCAAGACGTCGCTGTGTTTAGCTTTCAAAGTGTTTTCTTCGATTCTAACTTTGTAAACCAAGAGCCGGTCAAAAATGACGAATATATTCAACTTCTGACGTCAAACGTTACAATGCGAACTTCGACAGTTAGCAAAGTTAGAACAAAAATGATTGTTTACCCTTTACGAGTTTTTGAACTAGGAATTCATCATTTAAGCAGACCTATTAAGGAAAATTTTAAGTCCGTTTCAATCCCAGACAATGTTGCTTTGATATATCATTATCGTACCTGTGATTGGAACTATGGCATGAACTGTGACAGAATTGTCAAAGATGATTCAATGCATAAATATAGGAATGAGCTACTAACACGTGTCAAAAGTACACTTCATAATGTAAAACAATTAGAGACAACTTCACGTTCAATCACTAATAATAAAATGAAAAAAGGCGCGGAAAATAAAAGTTAAGACGGAAAACAATAAACTTATCAAACGTATCTCTGATTTGCTTTTTTCATTTGTCGGTGCAAAATAGACATATATTATTGTACATTTTGTCGTTCTATACACATTTTTGCCGGCTACAATATGTATCTATCCTAACTGCACATATTATTGGTCATCGGCACACATATTGAACCGGTGACAATATGTACCGATACTTTTTTTTACTTTCTTCAGAACGGTTGACAAAACATATCTAACATATTGGCACATATTTTGTCGCCCAAATCTGTGCAGAACGATTATATATTATGACACAGACGTATTTTATTACATATGCAGTAAAGCAGGTTTTAATGAAAATTCTGGGCCTTATTAAGTGTTTAGGGTAAATATTTAGCGAATGAATTTTGACCGTCTTGTTGCGATCAGACCACCAAGCCCCTTTCTGTCGCATCGCAGGAGTTAAGATCTAGTACATGTAAATGAGTTTAGACTGACTTTTAGGTGCTAGCACAGGATGAGACTGCACCTTTCAGTCAACTGAATTGTCACTAAAAGGTCTTGAAACGTGACTGAATGACAGAGCTCTGCCATTCAGTCGCTTTTCAGTTAACTGAATGGTAGAGTTTTATCCTGTGTAGAACCAATATGATGTCACAATAAATTCAAACTTATTTTTTACCTTTCGCTAGGGCTATAATTGAATTAAGTAGAAAAGGAAAGTTTTAATGGATTCAATTCATAATCATATAAAAAGTACTCATGATATTCATACTCGATTTACTATTATTTTGAAGAAGAGATTAAGAACATTCATATTGAAATTTTCTGAGAGATTGCTTTGATATCATTCTTCTGTTTTATTTTCCCTTGGCAGTCCTATATTTGTGACCAACAGTCTGATATTAATATTCGTCTGATGGTACCCTTGGTAGGTGTTCTATATATCAAACTGTCTGCTTGAACATTTAACAAACAAAAAAGTTTTATCCTTTATTTTTATTACGATCATTTTGAAACAGAATGCTAAGTATCATATTGAATTGGAAAAAATTAAAGATTGAATTTCCAATAAAACAGAACAGAAAATTATTGATTACAGTTGAAATCATTTATAAATGTTTTAGTGATTCTCAATGACTTTTATTAGACATAAATATCATATGTAACACAAATCGAGACTGTCCTTTAAACCTACAGATTTATTTTCTGTGTTTGTAAAATTCAAATCATCGCGTAATTTACTTCTAAATGCCTTAAATATCTTTCACTTCATTTTTCTGTATCAAAATCAGAGGCATTTCTTTCAACTCTGTTCTGGGTTTTTTTTTCCAGGATACTATCAGTTTATAATTATAGTACATTCAGATGTACTTCGACAAAAATCAGTATACATTACCAACAATGTTGAAAAGATTTCAAATGATGCAAATTCTTCTGTTTTCAGTAAAAAAAAAATATATACAAAAATTAGCAAATATATAATTTTGGTTGAAATTTCCTCAAAATTTGTTTAAGAGGAGGTATAAAGCATCATAAGAGTAAAAAAAAACTTCTTGGAATTCTAAAACTACAGAAAGTAAGTAAATTAAATTCAAAACTACGTTGCGTTTTTCCTTAATGACCATAAAGACCATTGTCTTTAAATTTGTTATAATATCGGACTGTCTCAAATAAATTTATTTTAATTAAAACATTTCAGTATGAATGTTTTCGGCAATGAAGGACGTCAAACCGTCTGATATTTTAGATGTATTGCACTGGATATATGCCGATTACATTTCTTTATGAAACAAATCAGAGAGTTTGAGGCCATTGGGACATTTTTTTCATTACAACTGGTGATGTAAACATAGTTAATAACGAGGACCTTAAAGCCCTTATTTTAAAAGGGCCAAAATTTAGGGAACCCCGTTCTTTCAACTGGTGTCATAATTTTATAAACTTTATGAATTATGTGAAAGATTACGCCAGGCGCTATGCCAAACACGAGAAAGAAGACCTTGACACTTTTTTCAGAATGGATTAAGAGCATCAGATGGATGTTGAAATCTCGCATTAAGCGATTGAGGGGCTGTATAAAAACTATTTATTCTTCTGTCTTTAATAATTCAGAAGCGAAAAAGGAATTAGATAAAATACACGATCACTATGTGCTGGTCCCAGCCGACAAATCTGGTAACAACATAGTCTTTGTTTGTAAGGCTCGAGCTCATTATTTGAATTGTATTTTAGAGGAACTAGGATTTAATTCTGCAGATGGAAACCCAACTTACACCCATAGCTCCCTTTCTAAGGAGGAAATTCTTCAAAATCATATATCCGTTTTAGATATTTTTAATATTGCCAACAATCAAAATGAATTTGAATTACTGTAACCGAGCAGAAGAACAACACCTTTACTGGATTCCTAAACTTCATAAAAATCCTTACAAAGATACATTGCGGGTTCAAGTATATGTTCTACCAAGCCTATTTCTTTATTCCTCAATGAAATATTTACTGTAATGAAGGAGAAACTTCAGGAGTACTGTAAAACAGTATATTCGAGAAGTGATGTAAATCAGATGTGGATACTCAAAAACTCCAAAGAACTTCTAGAAAATTTGAAATCACAAAAGTTTACTATATAATCAATAACATTAAAACATACGACTTTTCAACACTTTATACAACCATTCCCCGTGATAAATTGAAGTCCAGGCTTTTTGACATTATAGACAGCTGATTTTTCAATAAAAATGGAACTCGTAAATATACTTACCTTGTCATCGGTCATTTGCAAAATTATTTTGTTAAAAAGCATTCTGATTGTACACACAAGTACTCTGAAGTTGATATTAAAAAAAATCCTTGAGTTTCTGATTGACAATATCTATGTAGTTTTTGGAGATCAGGTCTTCCAACAATCTGTTGGAATTCCCATGGGTACCAATTGTGCCCCCTTATTAGCAGACCTATATTTGTATTCATATGAAGCAGAATTTATTCAAAAACTTCTAATGAGAAGAAGAATATACTTGCTGTGGCCTTCAACTCGACATTTCGTTATACCGACAACGTATTATTAATTAACAATACGTGCAGTTACTTTCATTTATATGTCGACTCGATATATCCCGGTGAAGTTGAAATAAAAGATTCCTCAGATTCTGACACATCTGATTCATATTTAGATATTTTACTAGAATAAGACGGTAATGGTAACCTAACAAAAAGCTTTATGATAAATGTGATGACTTCCACTTTTCAATCGTTAACTTCCCTTACTTATGTAGCAATATACTCTTATCACCTGCATATTGGGTTTATGTCTCTCAGTTGATTCGATACGCAAGAGCATGCTCTATAGCTATGTATGAACAATTTCTAAAACGAGGCAAACTATTGAAAAACAAGTTGATGAAACAAGGACATCAACAATCTCGTTTGAAGTCATCATTTCGCAAGTTTTACGGTCGGTACAATGACCTTGTCAGCACATGCAACCTATCATTAAGTAAAATGAGGACTGATCTTTTTCATACTAAACGGCGGGTGTGACCGGCCGGCAGGGGATGCTCACTCCTCCATGGCACCTGATCCCACCTCTAAATTTTGAGGTCCGTGTTTGCTCTGCTCCAGATTTGTATCGTTTCATTGGGCTTTTGAGATTGAATACTGTTCGTTATCTTCATATTTCATTCATTCAAAAGTGTATTTAACAGTGCCATATATATATTAATAAAAAAAGAGACAAATTAAGTTATCACGGGCAAGAATCAAGAATGCACACTTAAAAATGAAATTAAGTAGTTGTGTTGGAAATCATGCAGCTTTATAAATGTAGATTTAAGGACTGTTTGATTAAGTTTGAAATTGAGAGTGAAGACAAATTGTTCCTTACTCAAAACAAGTATGAAACAAAACAATGCATTGGATTACGATACACAAACTAGTGGATTGTTTTCAGTCATAAAAAAGAAGAAAAAAACAGATGATGAAAATATTATGGTCTCGATTTTTGTAATAATTGATATCAATTTTAATATAGCAGTAATCTGGAATCACTTTAATAATAATTTTATAATAAAATTACACATGTAAAGAAAATTCAAAATGGAAGTTTCCTATTTTATTTGCACTTATAAATAATGTCTAAATCACTATTTCAAAAGATTTACCCCCTGGTATCGTACATATAAAATTTTATTAGATGTTGTTTGCTTAATGATTTTTGTTATATTTTGTTAAAGTAGCAGTCCTGTTTTTAAGGATATAGGTACTGATATTCAGATATGGCTCACTCATATCGGACTGCCAACGGTGGATTTTTGGTCTGTAAGAACAAACATATGACGTCAAAGCAATATCTAAGAAAAAAAAAATATGTGACAGTTTTCGACACTGACGGAGAGCTTGCTCCGTGAGCGGAAGGTCATGTGTTCGAATCACGGTCCGCGACTTACCTAAGACGATAAAAATTTAATAGGTATAAACTGTTCCTTCGCCAAGCGCTCGGCACTTTGAATTGAAAGTTGTGGGTCCTTTGGATGAGACCTTTAAAACCGAGGCCCCGTGTCACGGTAGGCGTTGGCACGATAAAGAATCCTCACTGCTCAATGGCCCTGAATGCCTAGTAAAGGACTAAATTTCAAGCCCTTCCCCGGTATATGATGACGTCTCTATATGAGTGAAAAAAACGTTGAACAACATACAATTAATCAACACTGACGGGCCTCAATTTGTCTGATTTTTTTTATGAATAAAGCTGTATACGGCAATATCCAATACTAATAACATTGCTGGGACTTCTTTTCTTCTTTTTTTTTTTTTTTTTTGGCTCTTGCAGTCCAAAATTTCACATGGAGTTTGTCCTAACACCCTAGAATGGTACTTAAGGTAAATTCTCAACGAAGAAACGCTTGTCAAATAAGATTTTTTTTTTTAACTCGGAAAGAAATATTATTATTTTTATTGCAAAACAATGAAATGATATGCATAAACAACTCCATGACATCTGCTTTTGAGAAAAGTCCTCA